CGACGACGCGCCGCCGCGGCCCGGGCCCGACTACTTCTTCGACCCGACCACACAGGCCAACCTGATCCCGCTGCATCAGTACATCCTGGAGCAGGCGAAGCTTTCCGGTGAGCGCGCGCGCGCGCGCGGACGCCGAGTGTCGGCCGGACAGGGTGGCCAGCGCCTGCTCTTGCCGCGCGCCGCGCCGCTTGTTGTGCAATGGCAGCCATCGACCCAGCGCGGTGATATTCCTCGGTCCCACTTTTTTTAGCTGGGGGCAAACATGGACTCTTTGATATGCACTATCACATGGTTTGTTTGTGAGTGAACGATATCTCTGGCTTTTGATAAGCGCATTGACGCGCCTGAGCGACCCTGCTTCCTCCGCACGCCCGGCAACAGCATGTCCGCCGACTGGACTTTGTGGTGTATATGAAACGGCTGATGTATATCACCAGGGAAGTGCGAACTGTCCGAGACTGCAGGCCTGGCTGGGGTTGGGTCGGGGTCCGGACTGTCTCAGACTGAAGGCCTGACTGGGGTTGGGGTCGGTGTCCGGACTGTCTCAGACTGCAGGCCTGACTGGGGTTGGGTCGGTATCCAGACTGTGTCAGACTGCAGGCCTGACTGGGGTTGGGGTCGGGTCCGGACTGCCTCAGACTGAAAGGCCATGACTGGGTTGGGGTCGGTGTCCCTGGACTGTCTCAGACTGCCAAAGGCCTGACTTGGGTTGGGTGCGAGTATCCAGACTGTGTCAGACTGGCAGGCCTGGACTGGGGTTGGTTGGGGGTCCGGAACTGGCGGAGACTGAAGGCCTTGACTGGGGTTGGGTCGGTGGGGGTCCGACTGTCTCAGACTGAAGGCCTGACTGGGTTGGGTCGGTGTCCGGACTGTCTCAGACTGCAGGCCTGACTGGGGTTGGGCTGGGGTCCAGACTGTTTCAGACTGCAGGCCTGACTGGGTTGGTTTGGTGTTCATTCTGTGTCAGACTGCAGGCCCTGACCCCTTGGAGACTTGACCTGTGGCCAGTGACGCGCCATCCCCGGTCGTGACGTCAGGCGGGCTCTGCGCAGGCGGCGGCGGATCGGCGGGCCGGCCAACGATGTGCGTGCATTCGTCGCCAGTTTGGCACAGTCCCCGTGCTATGATGGATATCCGACCTGAGACGTGTCGCTTTGACGCCGCCGGTGGATAGGTCACCGCCCCCCCGACAGGCGTGTGGTCATTGACTCGGCCCGGGTCCGCCAGCCCCCCCCCCCCCCCCCCCGGCTCAGGGGCCAGGTGACGACCGACGCTCGCCTGTTCTCACTGCCGCGCCATTCGTGACGGCGCGGCAGTGAGTCCCAGGACGTTGCTCCGCCTGCCGTTCCTCCGCTCGTCAGACTGTCCTTCGCGTCGCTCCGCTGTGCCCGAAACCCCCGCGGCCCGGTCCTCCGTGTCCGACACTCCCGCGGTCCGGTCCACCGTATCCGACACCCCCGCGGTCCGGTCCTCCGTATCCGACGCCCCCGCGGTCCGGTTCTCCGTATCCGACACCCTCGCGGTCCGGTCCTGCACGCCCGACACCCCCGCAGTCCGATCCTCCATGTTCGACACCCCAGCGGTCCGATCCTCCATGTTCGACACCCCAGCGGTCCGATCCTCCATGTTCGACACCCCAGCGGTCCGATCCTCCATGTTCGACACCCCCGCGGCCCGGTCCTCCGTGTCCGACACCCCCGCGGCTCGGTCCTCCGTGTCCGACACCCCCGCGGCTCGGTCCTCCGTGTCCGACACCCCCGCGGCCCGGTCCTCCGTGTCCGACACCCCCGCAGTCCGGTCCTCCGTGTCCGACACCCCCACTGCCCGGTCCTCCGTGTCCGACACCCCCGCGGTCCGATCTGTCGCGGCACGCCACCGCGTCCGACGCCCGCCTGACTCGCCGCCCGCCTGACTCGCCGCCCGGCTCCGCCGTGCTCCAGGGTACCGGTTCGGCGACGCGCTGGCCGACGACCGGGAGAGCTGGCGCAGCGAGGACTCTGGTCCGGCCGACGACTCGGACGAGTTCGCCGACGACGAAGGCGTCAGCAACGCCGACTCGTCCGGCCTGGACGACTACCTGGAGGAGGACGACCGCTACCAGAACTTCATTCTGCCGCCGCACCTGCGCCACCGACAAAAGCTGAACGGTGAGCCGCCGCTCGACGGAGGCCGGGAGTCCAGCGTGACACGCGACGCTCACGTCTGCGCTGCGATCTGGGTGGAGATGGTGCGGCGTGATGCCTTACGTTGATGTGTGAGCCCTTCGTGGTGATCAGTCGCTGAAAGGTCAGTTTTTGGTGGAGACCACCATGTCTCGCTGTAGTGGTCGATATTCCCCAGCTGCCGGCCGTGACCGAAGCCCGGGGCCAGCGTCACTCCCACTGCGCGTCTTCCCACGGTCCGGCTCCCGCCCGCTCGCCCCGCCCGCCGTCCGTCCCCTGGCGTGTCCGCCTGACGTCCGTCGGCCGCCGTCGCAGGGCGGTCCGAGTCGGACCTGGTGGACGGCAGCGCCGGCGGCGGCGGCACGCTGCCGCGGCTGCCGCCGGCGCCGCCGCCGTACGCGGCCGTCTCGCGGCACGCGTCGCTGAATCGGGGCGGCGGGCGCGGCTCGCTGCCGCCGCCGCCGCTGCCGCCGCTCGCCTCGCTGTACTCGCCGATCGCCGAGCGGGCGGGCACGGCGCCGCCGCCGCCGCACCTGGCGCTGCTGGGCGCCGAGCCGCCGCCGCCGCCGGCCGCCGGCCTGCTCAGCCGCCTGGCGCAGGTAGGCGGCGCCACCGGCGCGATCTCGCCGCCCGCCCGCCCAGTCTGGCAGATGTGACGCGTGGGTGGTACGCATTGGTGTCCGAGATTGACTATCTGGTGTTCCCTGTTCTTGCCTGATGTTGAGATTCGAGGCTGTTATCGATTCTTGTCCATTGCAGCCGCGTTCTACACTGGATTCTGTTGCGTGCTGTGCTCTGCGTATGGAGTTCGTTCGCACATTTCCATTCTTATCGGTGTACGGATGCGATATGTGTGGTGTCACCCGTGCCGAGCTGATTCCGTTCGTTGCTCGACGTAGTGTAGTGTAGCGTGCTGCGCCGCCTGCCGGGCTGACATGACCGGCCCGCTGACCGGGTTCCCGTGTTCGCCGCCAGACGTCGCAGACGTCGCTGGCCAGCAGCGCGGCCAGCACGCTGCCCGAGCGGTCGGCCCTGAGCGGGCCCGGCGCCGCCGGCGACAGCGACATCGAGAAGTACGCCAAGGACAATCTGAACCTGCACAAGCGCGGCATCTTCCGCAAGAAGAACACCGTGCGTGACATGCTCTCCTGGTCTAAGGTAGGCCTGCGGGGCGGGGCCGTGCGGTGCAGAGGGGCGCGGATTACGCTGCCGCCTGCAGACGTCAACACGCCAGAAATAGTGTGGCGGGGACACGCTGACTGTAACGGGTGTGTTAGCGCGATAAAGGCCGTCCCAGACCGATCGGCTTTTTGTGGCCGGGCCTTGTTGACGCGGCTGGGGTGTTTTGAGAAGAGTGCCGATGCGTTATGTTTGGTTTCTTTGTGCAAGCTGCAGGTTCAGTGTTCCCTTTCTCGTGTCAGTTTATGAACCTGCCTAACACGCAGTAGTCAGTACCAGACGCAGTCACTGCGCTCACTTTTTCTAACATCAGTATGTGCGGTCCCAACTGCACCTGCACCCGCCGCGTTGTCTGGCTACAATCACGCAGTCCGCCTGTATCTGAGCAATAGTAACGGCATAACCGCTTGTTCCCGGTTACCGTTGCTCCCTCCTCCTCTCCCTCCCCCCCCCCCCCCCCCCCAATAGTCAGGTCCTGACCGACACTCCGGATGGTCCGCTTGGCTATATGTCCCCGTCCCACATCACGTGTACTTCTAGCGTGTCCTTGCTGTGTGCAGCCGCCCAGCGCTGAAGGTGCCCCGACCGACACCCCGAATGGTCAGCCTGGCCATCTGTCTTCCGTCCCACACCACGTCTGCTGTTAGCGTGCCCTTGCTGTGTGCAGCCGCCCAGCGCTGAAGCTGCCCTGACCGCGCGCTTCTCCGGACTCATCCGCTCCGGCCGCCTCCGGACCGCGCATGCTGACTGTATCCCACGGCCTCCCCCAGGACCCAATCAGTCAGCCGATGATCGCCACGCTGGACAAGGCGCTGAAGCGGGACGCCTGCGAGGTGTACAAGCTGGTGCAGATCTACATGGGCGATCGCAAGGCCAAGCCGGGCATGACACTGAACAGTGTGGGAGCCGAGCTGGCCGGGCTCGGCTGGAGCAAACCGGGCCTGCGTGACGAGGTGTACGTGCAGGTGTGCCGCCAGACGACCGAGAACCCGCGGCGCGACAGTCTGCGCCGGGGCTGGGAGCTGCTCGCCATCTGCCTGCAGTTCTTCCCGCCGTCGGACAAGTTCGTCAGCTTCCTGGACGGCTACATCCAGCGGCACCGCGACCCGGCGCTCGACCATCCCGAGCTGGCCAAGTGGCCCGTGCATGTGAGTCGACGGCGCACCAGCGCTCTCCCCTGACGGGTATCGGTGTCGCTCCCGCCGTCTCACCATCTCCCCGACGCGGGCGCTCACCCGCGCTGAGTGGCGCTCCGCCACCCGCTGTTGCGGCACGGAAGCGGCCGCCGTAACAGCGGGTGGCAGTAGCAGCCGGTGAGCCGGCGCTCGTCGGGTGTGGCCGCGACGGTGCTGCACTCTGCGGCAGCGCTACTGCCAGCGCGTTTCCAGGGGGGAGGGGTGTCGTCACGAACGTCCCCTACTGGCGCCCTGGTGTCACGCAGAAGGGTCCCCACCAACTCCCACGAGCCCCGGTCGCGCTCAGCATGGAGATCCTGTTTGTGGAATTACGAGTGACAGGTTGACTTAATTAATGCGTTGTTTGTGTGCCCGTAGTGCTGCGGCGCCCCTGTAAAAGTAGCTGGGATGACTAAAATTAAAAGACTGATGCAGTGGTGGACAGGCACGTTTTGCGGCTTTTTCCATTCTCCCATGGGCGAGATTAGATCAAGACCCCTTCACAGCCCGCCTGCGCCATTGGTCTAACTGCAGACTCGTCGCCATGTCGGGTGCACGTTGCACCACCGATCTCTTTTGGCTCGCGCTGGACGATGGTTTCGATCGACCTTGTGCTCCGGCGTGTTATCGCGGAGCTACCGGCCTCGGTCCATTAGGTGGCAGACTGGTCACCCGTCTAACGGATGTACCATCTCAGAGGTTACGTCCACAGTCCAGTGGACGTAAACATCGGCTTTGTGACGTTTCCATTTGATTTGAGATTCTGATATGTCGTAAGTTTCCTTTGCGTCGCTCAAGATAGTGATACAGTGACGGGAGTTGCATTAAAGCCCCAGGAAAAATTGCTTTGGAAGGCCTCGGGTCAAGAGGACGTGATGCAAACCGGCAATATCCCTTACATCTGAAATGGAAAACAGGAGTGGCTGCAGGCTTGCTTCGCTATCATATATTGCGATAGCGAGGAATACTTCGCAAGTATTCTTCCTCAAGATGTGTGTTTTTTCCGTGCACGAATGGATGAGTGGTAGATATAGGCAATGTATGGGCGTATGCGACGATGCAAATTTCGTTACGACCCTGGCTACAGTTTCGACGAAGGTGTGTTGTACTCGGCACTTTTCGAACAGCCGACCTATCCGTCTTACCCGACGATCGCTGGCGCAACCACACAAATCCGTGTTGGCCACGTGAAGTGCAGACGGTACGTTGATCGATGCGCTGAAATAGGATACGCACGTCCACCTGCTCTGGCTCCCGTGATTTGGCGTACAACGTGAAAAACGTAAAAACCAGGCTACTATAACTCTGTGACCTCTGTGTACGTGACGTGACGCGTACGCGAGACACGTGTGACCGCACGTCCGGCACCACGCGATTCCCCGTTCAATTATCTACCAAGGCGTGCTAATGTGCCGCTCCTGCCCCCGATCACCAAGATGTGACCACTATTTCGAACGTCGGCTCGGCGGGTTTGTCGTCGGTCGCATTTTCGGGCCGCCCGTGCAGAACCGGTACGCCCAAAACGTCCCTTCGGGCATATGGCACTCCCGAACCTGGGACCGCAGCGGCTCGCGACCTGCCCGTGGAAAACCGGCCCGTGCGCCCGCGCGTCGTGTACGAATTTCACCGATCAGCGACCCGTCGTTCGGCCCGGGCGCGACGCAATGCAAAATGGGACACGGGCAGACAGACCCACCCTAAGCAACTTGTTTAACGCAGCGGTTTATTGGGGTGCGCCTTTTCACCCCAAAGTTTCGAACGTTAATGGTCATCACTACTCAATAAAGCGTTCAGTTCGGTGAAGTGACCGAGTTTCGTGATCGGAAGACATCCAACCTCAAATTCTCGCCTTCCATCAAGTTTAAGTGCGTCCTATATTTAGTTTTCAGCTCTGCCCGTCCAGCATTTGGTGTGAGGTTTCTGCGTGGCGGAGTAGGTTATTTCATGAGCCGACGTGTGTGCCTGATTGCAGTCGCTGATACAAGTACAGATCTCCCACTATGCCAAAATATGCTGCCAAAGACTGGAACGGAACCTCGGCAAACGGAACAACCGCAAGCCCAGCTTAGAGGAGATTGACCAGGCACGGGTAAGCTGTGGAGCCCAGCGGCCCGATTGGGGCAGGTCATCCCAGGGGTGACCGTGTGGAGAGATAACGCTTCTTACGGACAGGCTGGGCTCATTCTACACCTGGGGACGAGCCTTCACGCCAAGACCACTGCCTGCGACCTACGGCAGACGTAGTGCTTGCGATGATCATTCAACGTGCTGCCTACCCAGCGAAAGAGGGCGGGGGGGGGGGGGGGGGGGGCGGTCGGAAGTGTATCCATGTGACTAGGAACAGCGAACTATAATGTATGTGTCTGTGGGCTGCGCACAGGTCACGTGATGCTCGTGCGCGCGCAGTTTCAGATATTCCGCTCCAGCATGTACGGCAGCACGCTGCAGGAGGTGATGGCGATCCAGCGGGATCGCTTCCCGCACCGGCGGCTGCCCTGGATCATCACCACGCTGACCGAGGAGGTGCTGCGGCTGCAGGGCGCGCAGACCGAGGGCATCTTCAGGTAACGGCGGGCAGGCGCGGCCGGCGGGTTCCGACAGAGGGCGTGGTCAGCCGCGGCCTCGTGCGCCGGCTCGGTCGGCTTACAGCTGCAGACAGACCGTGGCGAGACGCGGCCCGACGAGAGGCCTTGCTCATGCCCCGGGCTGGCGTTATGTAATCCACAGCCGTGCGGCGGCTCGAACCGTGGCCCGGGTGTTTCGCCGCGGCGGTGATGGTCTGGGATGTGAGTAGGTCCCGAATGCAGCTGCCTTTGATGAGCTTGAATAATTCGGTGCGCAGACCGAGCCGTCCCGCCTGGCATTTCGGTCGGTTATGTATGCAGGACCGGCCTGAATGCATGTCCAAATGAGACCGCCCAGTCCGCGGATCCTAGGAGGCCTGCCGACATTGCTGTAGCCAATGTAGACGGGTTTGGAAATGCATTTTCATTTGTTGTTTGCATGAAATGTGTGCTGTCTCCGTGTGCCGCTCGGTCCTCTGACGTGTGTCGTCTCCGGCAGGGTGCCGGCGGACGCGGAGGAGGTGCTGAACCTGAAGCTGCGCACCGACCAGTGGGAGGTTCCCGAGTGCTCTGACGCGCACGTGCCGGCGTCGCTGCTGAAGCAGTGGTACCGCGAACTGTGGGAGCCTCTGATTCCCGACCGATTGTACGCCAACTGCATCGAACATTGCGGCCAGCCGCTGCCGCTGCTGGAGCTGGTGCAGCAGCTGCCCGAGATCAACCGGCTGGTGCTCACCTACCTGGTCCGCTTCCTGCAGGTACGGCGCTCGCGTGCCTGGCGTGGCGAAGATGGGACGGGCCCCGTGCGGTCCCCGCGGGCACGGCTGTGGCTGGCCTGCCACGGGGCCGGAGCTGCGGCCAGAGCTGGGCCGGTGCCCGCAGATACGCAGGCCTGGCGCGTCTCCCCCGGCAGGATCCGCGGCAGAGCTGGTCCGACTCCCGCCGGTGGGCGGTTCACGGCTGTGGCTGACGGCAGACTGGTCTGCCCCTCGGAGTTGTTCTCGTGCAGGGCGCAGCCCGCGTCCTGCTAGTGCGAGCCCGTCTGACTTTCCGTCTCTTGTGGAGTTAGGCGAAAAGTTGTCCGTTTATCGTAGGCGAGTGTCCACCCTCAGCCATGTCGCAATCTGGCTGAAGGTGGTCCTCCTCCGCACGCCATCCCCGCCCCGCTGCCGTGGGTTTGGTTTGTGGGGCGGATCAAACAGACGAAGCAGCTTATGTTTGGATGCGCTGCACGTGAGCACTACGAGCCGGGGGTGGCGGAAGAGCCCGGGTACTATTCTGCCCCCGGCCCCTGAGCGACGCTGCGCGTAATATCTGCGAGTGGAGCGAGCACTCATAACTGTTTCCAGGACGCTTCAACATTTTGGAAAGCTCAAGGTCTTGGTGCAGAAAGAACGCGATCAGTTTGCGCATCTTCTTAAACTTATAACTTACTTGTAAGGTCCTAATCTACCAAGTCGGGAGTCGGCATCTTGAAATTGAAATAGTCTAATGAGGCCTTCGGGCGGCAGATCCGAGCCGGAACCGGACGGCGCGTGATCAGACAGCTGTGTGGACTTGTCTGTTTCCTGTAGGCTCCGTCTGACGCCGCGGGAGAGAGGACGCGGATCGGCCGTCAGCCCGGGTCTGTGTACCCTGTGACGACCGCGCCTGCCAGGCCGGACACGCCACCCGGGGGCTCACCAAAGGCCACGTTATGACCAAACTTGTGCCGGTGGAAGAGAAACGGCGGTAGGTCATCACGGCCCAGGGGGCCAAACTTGAAACTTCCTCCGCGTGCAAGGCCATTTTATGTCGGCTTGAGTTTGGTGCTGTAAGGACTGCAACTACACACTACACGTGCCTTGGCATTTCATCTATTGCATTCTGTCTCAAGGATGCAACTTCGAGGATGCAGGTGGAGTCTTCAGCCGGCTGCTGTCGGGAGCAGTGTCGAGTTCGCGGAATATGAGAGCTTGTTGCGTATTTCCTGGCAATAACTGGCGCTGAGTTCTCTCGGAAGCGCTGGTCTGTCGAGCCCGATGGCCATCACCTTTAAATGCAAACGGCTTAATGCGATTCGGGGATCACAGCACCACAATCAGGTCGGGCCGCGTGCCCGGTAACCAGACCGTTTCGTGGCCGGTTTATGGCGCGCCGTCACCAGGCAGACCGGGACGAAGGCCCTGGCTCGGGCGAGCTGTTAGGTGCGGAAGCCTCGAGGCCGGTGCATCGGCCGTCGCGACGGGGCTGACTGATCGCTCATCAGGTCCTGCTTGCCTGTTCGTGCACGCTCTGCCGACCCCGGTGGCTGTGCAGACAGCCATGTTCTCGGCAGTCTGTTCAGCTGATGACGGGCCAGGTGCGGTCCGGGGTATTTCGAGTCGGCGCTCGCCCGTCGCCCGGCGTCGTCGCCTCTGCCTGTGGTCGGCAGCGCGGTCGGCCCGTGCGGCGTTCGGTGCCGGCTGTGCGCCGCCGACTGGCGCGCGCCGCACGGTGATCGGTGGGCGGCGGCGGGCGACCGACTGCGGCGCCGAGCGACGGGCGTCGCGCCCCGTCCGTCACGGCGGCGGGGCCGAACGGCCGGCCGCGGCCGCTGGCACAAACAAGGGGCCGCCATCAGGCGCACCCGATATAGCCAGCCGGCATCAGGCCGAGCCGGGAGGGCGGGCGGCACCGGGACCGGCCAGCGGCGGGAGCTGCGCTAGCACGACAGACGCCGTACCCGGCGGCCCGGCGCCGCTGCCGACCCCGGCAGGGTGTTGAGGCGTGGTCTCCACCCGATCTCGATTCGTCGGGGAGGCGCGGGACATGGGCGACAGCTCCACCCAGACTGAGTCGGTTTGCCTCCCCCCCCCACTCCTCCCCGAGGGACAGTTCGCTTCTCTCATCATGTCCCTCCCACTGGGCCGCCAATAAGAAGCGACTAGTGGGTGCGGGTCAGCATCGCGTGGCGAGGCGCGCTTGCCATATGCCGCTGCATACAGACCAGGGGTAATGTGTGTGCAGACATGGTTTCGGGGTAAGCGTGGGTGTCGTCTGCCATTCCGTGTCATGCCGCCGACTGGCTGGGCCGACCTCTCGCGCCTCGAGGGAGTCGCGCCGTCTGATGCGACCAAGGAAGCACGTTAAGGATGACGCGGCGGGTGGAAACGACACTCTTTCAAGTGTTAGGTCGTTCACGTCGGGTGTGCGCTCCCTGACTTGCACATGAGCTGCGTGTCGAATCTGGGCGCTGAATGCCTCGGGTCGTCGCTGCTGCGGGCGTGAAAACTTGCCGCGGGAGAACACAGGCGGCGTACGGTGAGCATCTCTGCAGCATCGAGCGGCGTCCAAGTCGTCGCCGTATCGTTTTCGTCGCACGCGCGCGCTGGCCACGACAGGCGACCTCGGACGTGATTTCTGCTCTGCTTTCTTCACAGCCGAAGGTGCTGTGCACAGGGTGAGCCGTTTTAGGGAATGTCATAAGTCGATCGCTGGTTTGTGCTTGCCCTCCGGCCGGCGGTCACCTAACGCGTGACCTACGGACGTGGAAGCGGCTGTCGCTGAGCGCGCGGCGGGCGGCCGAGCTGCTTGAGCAGGTAGGCCGTGGCTGGTCTGGTCTCACTTGGAGCACGAACCTCACCGGACGCCACTAGCGTCGCGGACGACCCCTGCCTATCCAGGGGGCCGCGACTGCAGTGTCCAATCATGACCGTCGACGGAGACGGCCGACTCAGCCTGGTAAAAGGCCCCGCGCCCGAAGGCAAGAGAGATAACTGGCTGGCTGCCGGCGGCCTGTGAATGCGACTACCCTCGGATGGCTGGGGCCTGCCCGGTGCCTGGAGCGGCCCGGACGCCGGCCGGAACCGCGGCGGCGAGCCCAGTCGTCGGCGGCCGGCCCGGCAGCGCTAACTCTGACCTTAATATCGCGGTGGTCACGCGCCCTTCCCGTCAGCGACAGGCCGGCGTATCGACGGATGAGGCGACCGCGGCGACAGCTGCGGCGGCGGCGGCGGCGGCGCACGGCTGCCGGCTGCCGGCTGCCGGCGCCGACCCGTCCGGGCGGGCCCGGGCTGATCTCCTGGCGGCATTGAGGAGACGGCCTCCGCTTGCAGCCAGCCCTCGGCCTTCGGCGACGGAGCCAGCCGCCGCAATTTGGCGGGCTGCGGCGGCCGCCCGCCGGCCGGCATCAAAAGCCGGGCGCCAGCCGTTGGGCCGTGATTGGTCAACGATCTGACGGCGGCGAGCGCCGGCAAACGGCCGCGCTCGCCGGCTGATAACGGCGCGGCGGCCGCGCGTCCCGGCGGGCGGACGGCCGGGTGATGTCGGCCCCGCCGGCCGCCGCCTGGCCGGCTGGCAGCGCTCCCGGCCCTCCAGCCGTCGCAGCACCGCCGGCCGCCACGTGGCCTGGTGGTGGGGTCCGCTGGCGAGGTATGCGCCGGGTTTGGTGGTGGCCGGGTCTGCTGGTGTCGTATTTCTCCGCAGTGGAGTGCGATAGGGCTTCTGTGGCGCTAATGCTGGGGTTATTGGGGGACATTATACGGAACATTAGATGAGACATTCTTGCGCCTCCGAATCTAAGCTGCTCATTTCGCTCGCAGGTGCATTTGTCGTCCTTTTGTCAGGTCATCTGTAGTCCAGCAGCACGTGGAGGGCCTGGACTGCACCTCGCTCCACGACACAGTCCAGACCCGCTGTCTGAGCATCCGCCGCCGGCCAGCCGTCGCCAGCCGCCCGAATCGGCCGGTCTATCGCTTTAATTGACATTCCCTGCATTGCTGTGCGGCGCTTGGGTGTCTCAAAGGCAAGCCGCCAGGGGCAGCGTTCTGTGGGGTGCCCAGCTGTTTGACCTGACCGCCGCCGCTACCAGCCGGTGCGGGCCGCCTCCTCGCGAGCTGCCGCCGGGAGCTGGCGCGGCCACGGCAGACACGGGCGGGTTAACGAACCGTGCCGGACGGTGCTGCGTGGGGCTGCTGGGACCTGCCGAGTCGCCAGTATTCAGCAGCGCGGCGTCAGCGCTGTCGGCGGCAGACAGCGAGATGAATGGCGGGCCCGCCTCCGTGACTGGACCCCGCAGCGTGTATTTCGCTGCAAGCGGCGGGCCATTACTTCAACTGGAAGTTTAAAAGACTGAAACGCCACGAGAAAACAGGCCGATGAGTACAGAAGACGAACGACCAGTGCCTAGGTTTATTGCGACCTTCCAAGGCTATCGGTTGATTCTTCATAAATGTATGAACCTCACCCCAAGCAGTTATCTCGACAAGGCGTACAGATGCTTCACTATAACGTGGCCATGTGTCTTCTATGGGCACCGTCTCAGCGAATATGATCGCTCTAACGCTGGAACCAGTTGCTATGGACGTTAATGTCGGTATATTCCGTGGCGGCTGGCGCGGCATTTTGACTGCAAGCTCGCGATCGTAGGCTGCTTGCGCTGCCGCGGGCGCCGCGCGGTCCGAGCTGTCCCATCAGACCATCACATGGAAGCAGCCTGATGTATTTGTCATATGTTACGCAACAGATCCCAGCCCATTGTCGGTGCGCCGCTTTCCCGACCGTGGGCGCCATGTCGTGGCCACGGCTGACCGGCCGCGCCCCGCCGGCGGCGGTGTCCCAGCCGGCGGGGGCCGCCGTCGACAGCTGGGCCGGCGGCTGACGGCAGCCCCGCGGCCCGACCTGACGCACGCTCGTGCGACGCGGCTTGTCTGCTCGAGACACGCCCTGATCCGCCGCTGCCGCCGCCCGGCTTGCCCGTTCGTGCGGCGCGTGCCGGGGTGGTGCGAGCTATTCTTGGGCGGGCGCGTGCGACACCTCCGGAGACCGGCACTGAGAACGACGCTGTCTGGCCGGGCGAAGTTATCGCCGGGCGGTCATGGCCCTGTCCATCTAACTCACCGCGTAGTCGGGTTACTGGTGCGTGCCTGCCATCCGATCGGGTGGGTTCCTTATCGGGTGGGTTCGAGTTACCTGGGGTCTAGGTGCCAGGCGCCTGACGTTTGGTGCTGGGCCCGGAGGGCCATCGCCGGTGCTTCAGGTGTTACCAGGCGCACCCTACTCTTGTGGAGGTGATAGTGGCAGGCGATGTTGCAGGCCATTGCACAAATTTTCGGCTTGAGCGCCCCGGCCCGATCGTCACAAATGCTGGGACTTTTTATAATTTTAGAATCTATACCTATTTTTGCTCCCATCGATTGTAAGTTCACGTAGTTTTCAACAACGTGAAGCGCAATGTTATGAAACTTGTGCTGTGTAAATTATTAAGCATTGGCATACAAGCAGTGTGATCGGACATGCTTTTCCCGTAACGATGCAACGCGTCTACGATTCCACCTCCTCTCCGTTTGGTTTACATGGAACAGAGGAAATTTTAAAGATGCTTGAAAAACCTGAAGAGCCTGAGTCGAATCCGGGCCCAGGTAAGGACGACCAAGCTACGCGGTGATGATTTGAAGTGGTTGGTTGATGTGAGCAAACGGCGAAACGCTTTCGTGTGCTAACGACGGATCCGCCAATGCGGGAGCGTTTGCAGGGATTAATGTTTGATCTCAGCAACCAGAGAAACTGGGAACGTGACGTGGGCCGCACGGCGGAGGCGAATATACCAGCAACAGCTCACTAAGGGACCTCAACACTATTCGATCCATAGGAACGAAATTTATCGACCGAAAAGCAGCCATTGTCGGCGTTTGGGAAACCGATCTCTAAGTTGAGTTGTTGTGGCCTAACTAGAGAGGGATTGGGGCGTGATATTGGTGCTGGCTCCATTTTTGTTATCAGTATCCATCCAAAGTATTCGCGTTTTTTGCAACAGAGGTCAACAATCGCCAAATCCGTAGATCGATTTCGTCGACTGACATTGCCAACCCAGAACGGAATCGCAGCGGCACGTTTTTCTATCTGATGTTTGTCGTGAACTGACACCGAATGCTACGCTAGCGGAACACCATTGATTGCTGGTGGTCCGCTGTCACCACGGATTGCTGAGGGTGTCTGGCTTCTTTTGGTTAATGGCTGTTCATATTTACTGTACATATTTACTGAACTGTCATGCGCCATTTTAAAATTGAAGCAGGGTTTGATGAAAGTTTATCACTCCAGCCTGTAGCTGTTCTTTCATGTGATAACGTACGATGTTTGCGTACGGAGGATCCCCTGGCATGGTGGCCAACTTCGTGAAATGCGAATGGCCCGTGTTAATAATCACATTGTAGACGGTTGATTGGGTGACCAGTGGTAAGCCTCTGGCCCTCGGCCATCATGAACTACCGTCGGCCTTTTACCTGTTGATGGCCCTGCAGAATAGCGCTTCCCTCGTGATCTTTTTCTCGTCAAGATCTCATGATCGCTATTTTTCTAATTCTTATCACATCATTTCTTATCCAACCCAATCTATCGCATATCGTGCGATGCGTTCAATTCACATCCTATTCTTATCACAATATTGTGTAAAATGGCTTTCGACGGCCCACCACATTTCACCACCGAATTTATCCGTTCATGCGCCTCTTTCGCCTCATTCATCCTACCTTCAGCTCATTCGTATCTTGTAAGCACTAGTCTTGTCATTTCGTCGTCCCGAACCTATCTGGTACCTCTTAAACGGGCCATATGAACGCCGGCACTTGCCCGCCTGCAGCCTCCGTCTCGTTTCCACGTACCAATTACACTCTGCGTGGCTGTGGGCGGGCTCGCAGTGGAGGCTGCCAAATGCCCTGCGGCTGCCCGACCGCCGAAGCCGCGACATTTCCACCCGGCTCACGCAGTCGGCCCGCCGTCGGTCGCGCGGCTGGGGAGGCCTCCGTTCCGGGAGGCGAGGCCTGCTGGGAGAACACGCCGGTCTGCCCACGGTGTCCAGTTCACAGCACGTGGTGGCCGGCGGGCGTCGCTGCACCGACGCGGCCTGGTCAGAGGCGGAGCAAGAGCGACGCGGCCCGGTCAGGGGCGGAGCAGGGGCGGCGCGGTCGGAACAGGGGCGGAGCAGGAGTGGCACGGTCGGATCAGGGGCGGAGCAGGAGTGGCACGGCCGGGCCATTGGGCGGAGCAGGAGCGGCGCGGTTGGATTAGGGGAGGAGCAGGAGTGGCACGGCCGGGTCATGGGACGGAGCAGGAGCGGCGCCGCCTTGGCCGCATACCTGGCCGTTGGCTCGGGCCATTGGTCGACGCGGCTTCCTGGCCTAGGTTTCATGTGTTGTCGACGTTTGTGTGCGGTTGATTGTCATTGGTTCAGTCTTTACTGCCTCGCCGCTTATTAGGGGCATCAGCTTTGATAAGCAACCTTTGTGTCCGTCCCGGTGGTTCAGTTCGTACTGTAAGCTCAGTTGGTTAGAGCGTCTGTCTTCCGACCCACCCACCCGTGGGGGTGGAGATGAGTCCGAGTAGCTCTAGGCGCTCGTCATTTGCCCCTGACTGGCATGGCCTGCGGCTGGTGGCAGTGGTCGCCCTTAAGGTCAGTTGACGTCAGAGGGCAAGACGGGTCGTGCCAAGCTTTACGACACGATAAACTTTCGCCACTAAGCTCTGCTGTTGCCTGGAATTGCGCGATCGGATGGTGGGGGTTAGGGCTCACACAACAAGCACTGCTAACGTGAGTTATGATCCCAGAAGTCCGTCCATTCAAAGGGTTCGGATCAAATTTTAAAATGGAACGATCCGAGTGAAATCCTGTTTTTGGTAACCTTTTGATGCTGTAGGTGCAAGCTTACTGCGAACTGCCATCACATGTTGTGCGCGCGACTCGCGGTATGTGACATTTTGAAAGTTATTTTTTGCTGCCGTCCGGAATAATGTCGGTTTTTTGGCGTCCGTGAATTATGTATGAAGTAATGTATGTCGTCCACAATCTATGGGTCAGACTGCCGTGTACTCTCGCCTGTCCGTGCTGGAGACATTCACCGGGCTGTTGCATGGCCGCGACGCGTCCTGTGTATACCCGTGTGACATCTGCAGACCGCTGACCGCCGCCCCTGGCCGCGTTCCAGCTGTTCAGCCGGCCGGAGGTGGTGCAGCAGACAAAGATGGACGCCAGCAACTTGGCCATGGTGTTCGCGCCCAACGTGCTGCGCTGCCGCTCGCAGGAGTCGCACGTGGTGCTCGAGAACGCGCGCAAGGCCATGGCCTTCATGAAGACTCTCATCCAGCACATGGACACCAAGTGTATGGAGGGCGTGGTCTGAGCGGCACGGCACGCCGGGACCGGCGCACACCAAAGAGGCGGCGCGCGGCCACCTAGTCACGGGCATCGCGCCCCGCCGCCGCCGCGTCCGGCCGGCAGGCGGACGCTGGACGCCGCCGGAGCGTCGCCCCCGACCGGCAGCGGGGTGGTGCGGTGCCGGGCCGCACCGCCGCCGGCGCCGCCCGCCGCCCTGTTGCTCGATCTTCATTTTTTACGCAGATAATCGAGTGTTGTTTTGCCGCGCTGGCTTGCGCGCGCGCGCAGCCTGAGATTGGGTTGAGCGTAGCCTGTAAGTGGCGCCCCCTTGTGGCGACGCCGTCGGCGGCCTCAGAGGCCCGCCCGCTACCCACGCCCATACCAGCTCCCATCATGTGGTGGCTCATTACGCCAGTGTTTATTTATTATATCATACGGCAGTGTTCAGTTATGCGATTCGGTGCTGTGTTCACTGTGTTCCCGTCGGCAGAATATACTTTGAGAGCTGGCTGTGGTGGCTGGGCGGCCGTCAGTTGTCGCCCTTGATCATGGTGGGGCAGCTGCGGATCAGGAACTCGTTGAAGAGCGTGATGTCCTGGTACTTGTGCTGGTGGTGGTAGCGGCGGTCAGCGCGGTCCTGCAACACCAGTAGCCCGGTCAGCGCCCGCCAGCGCTGCATTATTCAGCGTCGGGCTCGCACCGGCGTGCAATGGCAGCGGCGGCGGCAGCGGACGCATTGATTGCCGTTTGGCCGGCGTGTCGTCGTTGGGCGCGGTGTTAGAGCGGTGTCGGCCGCCGAGGAGCCCCCATCGGGCCGCTGGTGGACGCCCGTTTGGGCGCCCGTGGCGGCGGCGGGTCGCCGGCGATTGGACACCGCGGGCCGGGTCATGCGTCGGCCGCGCAGGTCGATTCAGAACGACCGGCCGCAATCGGCGGCCACTGCAGTTCGGGTAATGACATTGACCGGTTCGGGCGTAATGGCAGGACGCGCCGCATGCCAGAGCGGCGTTGCCAGTCAGCTGTTGGATTGAGTGACACACTATACGTAGGCAAGGACGTCTTGGCAAGCCGAGACGAGACCGCGATTATTTGAGTCTACTCTTGGTGATCCAAAACTAGCGTTCGTCGATTTGCTGTATAGTTGATGCCTGGGGGCTCCTGCGTGTTGTCTGCACTCCCGAAGGACTGCTATAATCGAGCTGCATGAAAGTTATTTCGGGACCCGGATCTGATAGGAGCCGGACCAGAGCAGGCCGCGCAGCCTCACCCCTGACCTCATCGCGCCCGCCCTGCCGCGGCGAGCGTTCGGTCCTGGCAGCCCACTTCTGGCACTTCCGATGGGGCCATCTCGCCTCTCAAGGCGTGCTCGTCCTATCTGACGTCTCCGTAATGCTGACCGATGCGACGGCGTGCCGCCTGAAGCAGCAGCACGGCATTGGGTCGACGTGCCTGCCGGGACGGGGCGCCGACCGCGCGCCGTCACCGCCCCACGTCACCATTTTCGGCCATCCCTGGCGGCAAAAGTAGCTGCGAACTCAAGCCCCGATTGCCGGTGAGCCCCCAAAGCTGAGTGTCCACCAGAGCTGTGACTACCGCTGAGTGTTCACCAGAGCTGTGGTCAGCACTGAGTGCCCACCAGAGCTGTGGTCAGCGCTGAGTATACAACAGAGCTGTGGTCACCGCTGAGTGTCCACGAGAGCTGTGGTCAGCGGAGGCTTCGCGACGGGGCCTCTGACCGCCCACCTGCCTGACCAGCCGAACTTAACAAGCCATGCGGCGTTCGGGAATCGCCGCCGAGGGTGGAGAGTAGACGGCCCATAGCAGCGCTCTCCGCCCCAATCCCCATTCCACATAACCAGACCATCGATCGCTGGAGACTGGCGGGGAACACGATCGGCCTAAGTTGGCAAATCAACACCGACTGTGACTGTGACTGCCACGGCTCGGTCACCCCAAGTGCGGTTATGTGGAAAGGGCTGAGCTCCGCACCGGCCCGACACGTGTGTGCTACGGATGGTGCCGGGATGGGGCGCGCTCCCATGAGCCGTTATTCTGGGCCTGGCCAGACTGAACTGGCTGTGTCTGAACGCGTTATCTGCTCTTCGCCGTTTTCTGCTTGCACGTTTTCTCTGTTGCATTATTCACTTTACAAATTCACGTACGAAAATTACAACACAATTGGAGTTGCAACCTTTGATGGGAGCCGTACCAGCGAAAGTAATATGTGCCGTAAATACCTGACAACGCGCGGACGCCTGGGAGTGTGAAATTAACTCCCACCCGTTCTCTGCGTTTCGGGAATAACTTCAGAACTGTCGTCAACTGCAAGGCAGGTCCACCAGATTTGAAGTGCCTAGCAGATACAACATTTGATCACTTCTTGGAGTAAAATTACTCAATCGTAGGACGGGACACTAAGCTATAACGCTATCGTTGAATGTTCTATGGCGATTTTTGTCTGCATAAGCAGCAGTTGCTGTTTCCCCGGATGTTTTGGCTCATGCGAGAAAATTCACCAATTAGGTTTAGTGCCACCCTGAGTCGATCGTACCACGTGGATTCACACCAAGTCTTCACCAGAGGTGTTTGCGGTCAGCGTATTGCGTCGAACTAAACTAAGTCGTGTCTTTTGTGAAAAATGTGTCAGTAGAACTAACGCATTCCCCAACCAAAATTGTATGTCACCTAAATTGGAATGCAACAAAATACGTCCGATCAGGTGACCTTTTCTGGACCTGATATTATCTTGATGTGCACGCCTTACCTGATCTTGGCCCTTGGACCTATGGCAGGATTCTGAAGCACAAGAACACGTCCTTTCGTTCGGCGTCCGTTGCTAAGCTGTACGACCGATATTACGGGTGTCAGGGAGCTCTGAAGTTGTTCGAAGATGTTCGTGGTTGTATGGGACTTTTCGTGACCTTTGTCATCATTCACATGACCAATGTCAGGTCAGGGGGTCCTGGGTAATATTGATCGGTGCTTTCAGTTGCCATTTACTTGCTCTTATCCGACCGTGAAAATGTGAGATATCCGATGTACTTTTACCCCCCCCCCCTTCCCCCCAAAACAGCCGCGGGCGACGAGGTACCTCAAGGGATGACATTAATGAGCAAGTTACCTTCGCTATTATTAGCCCTTTGATATTCTTGGACAACTTTTGAGAAACTTGCACCTGCAATTTCGAACGTTTCACAGCCCTAAACAAGAATGAGAGCAACTGGGATTTGGTCGATCATAGACCGCGTCATGGCAAAATGACGTCACCAATGCTATCGTCGATGCCGAGGCACATCAGTCTTCCTAATGATGTTTGATATGCTACATGCCGTACTAAATGTCCAAATGATAACCGTATAGGCCTTTCGGGTTCCTGGAAATGTTTTCGTCTAACATTTATTCGGGAATTGAACAGGAAACAGCTGTTTGTTCCCACCCGATCTCAAAGGAGCCCACTGGAGCCTAATATTCTGAGAGGCAGCGGACGCCGGGGATGGGTTGCGGTCCCAAGCAATGGTCCTACCGAGCCATCCATTTCTGAGCTGCCACAATTAAAAACCACAAAACGACAGACCCCATCACCAAGTTCCTAGAACTGTCCGATTCATTTACGGGATGGGCCCATTCCGCCCAAGACCAATTTATCTCACCGCCGTATCATGCAGCGCACCGGCCCTTCAGGCGCATCTCCCGCCACCGTCCTGGAGTGGAACATCCGATGGAGGTGTACGTAAAGCGACGTGTCTATATGTACACATTTATTTTTATTCACCCTTCGAAGTATGGGCGCCAAATGACCACCGCAGTCGGCGCGCCCGTAAACTCCAATCAACAACAACACTTCGAAGTAAAAGTGCCGTTCCATCACCAGATTTTCTGAATTTCCGTACGGG